CAGATCAGAACTTAAAAAATTCAGATCAGAAACATTCAGATCAGGTGAAGAGAACAACTTCTTAATTTGTATTTTTACATAGTGGATATGTAATGGTTTCACAAATATAACATTCTTGACTTGAGAACCAATTATGTTCAGTTTCACATGGTAATTATCAATAAATTTTATTTCAATTGTATTTGCAAAATACCATTAAAGTCTGATATATATTTCCAACACCATAACGATTAACAACCTACGTAGTATTAAAAATCTTATTTCAACTGGAAAAGTAGTTTGACTTTTAAAACAAACAATGTAAATTGAGAGATTCACATATATTTTGTTTTTTTTTTAATTACTATTTTTTAAGTATAATATATACTCCGGTCTCCGTATATCATTTAAACTTCTTATTTCTTTGAAACAACAAAGCTCAATAGATTAGATAGGGAAAAAAGGGATCAAAACGTCTTATATTTGCAATCTTACATATAAATTAAACTTCTCAATCGGAACCCATGAGGGGGTAGAATTGTGGATGCAAATAAAGTAGCAATTGAAAAAAAAGAATAAATTCATTCCAACACTAATAAAAAAGGAGAGGTCAATAAGAAGTATACTCCAATGATCCAATCCATATAACGAAAGTAAAATATATGGAGACATTATGAGCCCATTTAGTAGCACGAAAATAGACCGATTCAGTTGATTCTGCTGAAATTTATGAAATTCTGGCTGAAATTACTGCATTGGTTGATTCTGCTGATTTATGAAAAAATTATATCTAAAATATATTTAGTTAATAAAAATAAAAAAAATTGTATGAAAAATAGCTAAAATTATTTTCTAGAGTAATTTAAGCCGATACAGCCATAAAAGTAACTCTGACCTTACTTTTTCTTATTATTACACAATTCAGCACGCGGGATCAAAAGTTACGTATTTGATTAAAGAGTTGGCCGATAAGCCTGATAAGCCGAAAAACAGAGTCACCAAACAGGCTCTATGTAAAATTTCTGTAATCAAGCAAAAGTGCTGAATGTTAACATAAGTCCATCTAAGCGACACAAAATTTGTTATCATGATTCCCAATTAGTCTATTTTCTAACAACCAATGATCAGATAAGACTTAGAAGCCATGAATATAAAGAGCCAAGAATTGTAATTTTGAAGAAAAAATGGGTCCCAGCAGAGTGACTAAACATCATGTTATTTGTTAAAATCACCAAAAACCATTAATACTGTCCAATTAGAAAACCAGCAGCTTCATAATCCCAATTCACATACTTAAAAACATAATCCTTCAAGCATTTACTATGCATTCAAAAATGGCATATTAATGAGTGTGCTAGATGAAGTTTGGAAAATTTGAAAGGAAGTTTGAAGCAAAATACGTAGTATATATGACATAAAATCAGTAGGTTGAAGTGAAATTTAACAAAAACATGATTTTTGTTAAGAATTGAGCACTACTTTATATTCTCAATAGGAATCCAAAATTAATGAAGATACCTCCGAGTCTCCGATAACAAATTGAGCAGTACATATGGTAAGTTGGACAGATACCCAATTATGTAAAACAGAAGTTACAGAACATCAACTCAATTGTTTTAGAATATATTTCTCTTCAAGTGGTATATATATCCACTTGAATATATTCAAAACTTATATGATCAAATGAATCTAATTTGGTGGGAGCTACATAACTTAATGGAAGTGTAGGCATAGGATAATATTCCTTCTATCTCTCAAAACTTTGACAAATTTGAACGACACCAAAAATCAGGGCCGGCCCAGAGGGAGTTTAGGGTGTGCGACCGCACAGGGCCCAAAAAAATCGAGGGCCCAAAATAAAAATTTTAGTAGTAGTACTACTACTCTACTAATGTAATAATGTTTGATGAATTGATGAAATAATGAAATTTAAAAATTTGGTTGTTATTTAGAATTAAATGTAATTAGTTGATGAGTTAATTAGGCTATTTATATTTAATAAATTTATAATTGCTGCAGCTATGTTTTAAGAACATCTGTTTGTCGATCAATATTTGTGTCAGAAAGGAAGGCCCAAATTTTGTTATTGCACAAGGCCTCCATTTTCTCAGGACCGGCCCTGCCAAAAATAATAAAATAAAAACTTTGTGATTGAAATTTGTTAAGAGAAAAATAATATATAGAAAACACGAATTCATTGAGTAGAACGGAAATAAGCAAAGTTTTTGGACATCCCAAAAAGAAAAAAGACAAAATTATGAGGAATAAGGAGTACAATTATATGAAAATTTTCTGAACGAGTAGAACTATGCTTTTTGCTGCCGCAAGATAAAAGGTTAAATTTTGTCCCTACATTTAACTAGCCATATAGTCGTCATTGTTTGAGATTCTTATTCTTTGATCCAAATGGAATCTCCCACCCCAGGAGCCCCCACACCCGACCCGACACAATTGTGGAGGAGTAAGTCGTGATGACTCAGTCAGCAAAATGGGAGTAGGTCCATACACCAGTGCGCACCAGAGGTCCAGCCTTATTTCAGGTGTGACCTCCACCCGGCCGGTCGCTGCGGAGATTTGAACCTTGAGATTCTTATTCTTGCAATCACGGTTGTTACTACTGTTTTTATAATATGAATCATTACCATAACCCTATTTTTAACATAATTGAAAAACTATGTCAAGATAGGCAAGAAACAATCACTTCCGAATAAAAACTTCATAACACATCATATTAAGGCTCTGTTTGCAAACACAACTAAAAAAGCACTTCCCAGCTTTTGGCTTAAAAAAGCTAAAAAAGATGTTTTCAAATGACAACTTCTACTTAAATGAATCACTTAAAAGCTAAAAGCTAGAATCTACTTTTCACTTTTTCTATTACACAAAAAGCACTTATTTTACCAAACACCACCAACTTTTACTTTTCAAAATCACTTTTTTCTCAAACACTACCAACTTTTACTATTAATCACTTTTTTACCAAATCATTTAGGCTCTGTTTGTAATCACTTGTGCTTAAATAAAAGTATTTTTTGGGAAAAAGTGATTAGTAGTAAAAGTTGGTAGTGTTTGGTAAAATAAGTGCTTTTTGTGTAATAGAAAAAGTAAAAACTAGATTCTACACGAAAATCGAAGAAGTAAAAGTTGATAGTGTTTGGGAAAATAAGTGCTTTTTTCTTTAGAAAAAGCCAAAATCACTTTTTTTAATTGATTGCAAACAAACCCTTAAAAAAGTTAAAAGCACTTCTCAGTTGGGTTTGCAAACAGAGCCTAAAAGAGACTAAAGGGTCAAACCGACTTTGTACATTTCAGTTGTGCTCAGTTCAATCTCTGAACGGAAAAAGATACGATTCACACTTCGAAGTTCGAGTAGCAAAAAAGATTGAGGTTTCATTTTAACGAGTGAATATTTATTTACCCACCACGCCACCGTTAAGATCAAAACAAATTAAAATACATAGTAAATAATAGAGATGAAGTGTAAAAATACTGTGAACATACAAATAAAAACATTTAGTGGGTAAATTTTGTGGTTAGTTCAAATTTCGAATATAGATATAAAAATATAAGAATGACAAAAATATTCTATGTTTATCTATATTTACAATTTTGAGCATGTTATCCATGAGTTGTAGATTATATCCACCACATTTCAGTTTAAAACTCAATCGAGAAGTCAGTTATATATATATGGATGAGTTCAAATGAGAAGACATCTTAATGTGTAAAATGAGAATTAATCTCAGCCGTCCAGACTTTTGTTTACACGTTAATTCTCATTCTATATATATATATATAGAATTTGGATCAAATAAAAAAAGTCTTAACGTGTAAAATGAGAATTAATCTCAGCCGTCTAAACTGTCGATCTGATGCACAATAACCCTTATCTGATGCACTTTTGAATAGACTTCAATAGGGATAAATTTTCGGAAATTGTCCTAGATAGGACTAATGAGTTCCTAAAAAGCACAAATAAGACTACTACTTTTTAAATCCCCTAAATAGGACTAAACATTGATTTTCTACCCTAAATACTCCTAAGAGTATTAATTCATAATGAAATGCTTTAATTCATAATAAAATCATAAAAAACGTAAAAAAATATTTAAAAAATGTAAAAAAAATTATAAAAAATTTATAAAACATTTATAAAATAAAAAATTTAATTTTTATTTTTTTTATTTTTTTTAAAATAATAAAAAATAGTTAAAACCCATTAAAAATGAAAAAAGTTATGGATACCTTTCCCATCTTCTCCCGCCGCATCCCAGCACCACCACCCCCGATTGGTGAAATTTCTTCCACTTTTGGTAAAAAATGTCATCTTTTTATGAAAATGCCAAAAATATGGCATAATTACTCTTCAATATGCCAACATTTTCATTGAAATGTCATCATTATGGCATTATTTAAAAATGTTGGCATATTTTTCTCCGGTGATGGGAGTTGGTGGTGCTGGGGTGGCAGGGGTAGTAATGTTTTTTTTTTAATTTTACGATTTTTTATTCTTCTAATTTTTAAAAACATATTTATTTTTACTTTTTTTAAAAAATTATTTTTATTAATTTTCTATAATTTTTTTTACGATTTTTAGTATTTTTTGATTTTTATTAATTTTTTATGATTTTATTAATAATTAAAACATTTCACAAGTTACAAGGATATATTTGTCCAAGCACACATAAATAGTCCTATTAAGAGAATTTAAAAAATGTATTCTTATTTATGCAATTTTACGGTTTTTATCACTTTTTAATCCTATTTAGGGAATTGAATCGTAAATTTTCGTCAAATACGAAGTACCCGGAGGCCGGAGTACGAGTTACGAGGGAACATGGAAAGATTCGCGTGATGTAAAAAAAAACCTGCCATTGCATTAACAACAAAAACTACTTGTTGTGTATCGAAACCGCTCGAACCTTTTATGGTGTGGGCCCCCTGTGTTTTATTCCGTACTTTGTATTAGGTAGTTTTAACCAACTGGGAGTCTTACGCATTATCGCCTCCCGAACTTGAACGCCGAATCGGAGGAGCTCCACTTTTTTTGGCTTTATTTATTTCCCTTGAATTTAGGCAGATTTCTGTTTTCCAGTCTCCACCTACCACTCTACCTACCCTCTCTATTACTTCATATAGTTGTTTGTTTGATCCAACCATCCTGGGCGACAGGACTCTTCCCAAATCAATCAACCAAATTTGGGTTCTCGTCATACTTTACAGTTTCGGATTGATAGTTTTGGGATTGTGTCCTGCTCGGCGATAAGACTTTTTCTGCCCAGAAATCAATCTGAATTTGTTTACTTCATAGTTTTGTTTTGAATTGATAGTTTTGGATTGTGGTTTTAGCGAGGAGACATGTCTGCGGCTTTGGGTCCGAACTCAGTTTTGCACAGCCGTGACCTTGTAGTGCCGTCCCCGGCCAGGGGTCTGTTGAACCGGTTGGGACGGCTGCCAATAGGAGGAGCTGGAAGAGCTGCCTCTACTGCTAAGAGGGCGAATTGTTCTCTGTCCAAAGGACACCGTAGTTTAGCGGAAAAGAGGATTTATGGGACGAAGCTCCGATCTTTGGGCTCTGAAAGTTTGCATCTTTGGCAATCGGATCGGCTCGGCAGAGCTTCCAAGCAGCGAATTGTTGTGCGTTCCTCGTTCTCTCAGGTTCCCGAGAAGCCGCTCGGTCTCTATGATCCCGCCTACGATAAGGACTCGTGCGGGGTGGGATTTATTGCTGAGCTTTCCGGTCAAAGCAGCCGCAAGACGGTATAAACAATATATTACATGTTTGGATACTATGCTGTAATTGTGATTCTTGTGTATTTTTAGTTCTTGTTTCTAAAGATTTAAACTTTGGTGTGCAGGTGACAGATGCAATTGAGATGTTGGTGCGAATGTCTCACCGAGGCGCGTGTGGTTGTGAGACGAATACCGGTGACGGCGCTGGCATTCTTGTGGATCTTCCCCATGACTTTTACAAGGAGGTCAGTATGCTAATTTTAACACAGTTTATAGTTTACCATTTTTTTTTGAGTAGTATTTCTTTATGAAAAGCCTCCGAGTATTTAATTCAGCAATGCAGCCATGCTTGTTTTAAGGGAGTTCATTTTTTTCTTGAATTTGTTAAAAGTGCTGTTTTTTATTCCACATCAGAAAACAGATGGAAAATCTAACTCTATGTTTTGTACAGTTTAAATTTTATAGTGTTGGCCCCTCAAGACACTAGGGAATTGACTACCATATTCTTCTTCACCGTGTTTCAGGTTGTGAAGGATGTTGGGTTTGAGCTACCCGCACCTGGACAGTACGCAGTGGGCATGTTCTTCATGCCCACTGATGATGTGCGAAGAGAGAAAAGTAAAAGTATATTTACAACGGTAACTTTAAGCCCTAATACTTGGTTTGTTTTCACTATTTTAATATCATGTAAACTTGAATTATGATGGAAGTGGTTTGCTAGTTCAGGTGACTACTATATATTTACACTTCTAAAGTGAGCTTTTGATTGATTATATAGGTAGCTGATTTACTTGGCCATAAAATCATTGGATGGAGACGTGTCCCAAGAAATAATTCAGGACTGGGAAACTCTGCTTTGAAGACAGAGCCTATCATTGAGCAAGTATTTGTTACTGAAACTCCCCGGTCCAAGGTTGATTTTGAGCGACAGGTAGTTGAGGAGTATGGTGATTTTCCTGTTACCTTGAAAAGCTATTTAGCTTAGGTACAATTTGAGTTTGAATTTGATGCATGACAGATGTACATATTACGGAGAGTTTCTATGCTAGCAATTCGAGCTTCTTTGAACCTCCAACATGGTGACCATAAAGATTTCTATATATGTTCTCTTTCGTCAAGGTGAGTTTCCATTTATTTATTTATTTATTTATTTATTTATTTATTTATTTATTTATTTATTTATTTATTTATTTATTTATTTATTTATTTATTTATTTATTTATTTATTTATTTATTTATTTATTTATTTATTTATTTATTTATTTATTTATTTATTTATTTATTTATTTATTTATTTATTTATTTATTTATTTATTTATTTATTTATTTATATTTATTTATTTATTTATTTAGTACTTTCTTTTTCGGTTCTGTTTTTTCTTTTAGCTTTTGTTTGGCAGGCTGTTGTAAGTTTTTGATAAAATATTTAATTAAACACATTGAGTCAAATAAGAAATTCCTTGCTTTTTAAAGCTTTTTATAGTAAAAGACTTTACTAGGATTAGGACAGCCGTCGAGAGAAACAAAAGTCCACAAACCTCCTAATTGACACCAACAAGTAAAATCTCCTTGCGCTGCAGCACGAAAAAACTGTAGAATAATTCATTTCAATTCAAATATATTGAAAAAAAGATCACTCAATCCCTAAATATTTTTTTGACTTCTCAGTCCATACTTTTATTATCTATCTTATCCCACTAAGATTGTCTCATACCAAGTTTGGTAAAATTTGGTAAGATTGTGTGGTTCTATGTGTGGTTCTAAATCAATTTTACTTTATTTTTTTCTTTATCAATTCAATATCAACCACAAAAGCTCACTTTTCTTAACAACTGCACCACCTCCTAATGTCCCAATGTTAGTGGGATGGAGGTAGTATTTATTTGTTTATTACCCTCAGGAGTTGTAACACTAATGTGACACAGTTTTTTTAAAATTTGATCTTGCCTCACGGTGCAGGACTGTTGTCTACAAAGGCCAGTTAAAGCCTGATCAATTGCAGGAATACTACTATGCAGATCTTGGCAATGAAAGGTTTACGAGCTACATGGCACTGGTAATTATATTATCCATTCACCTATTTATTGTACACTGACTCCATACTTGAACAACCAACAGCATTGGATCACAATCCTAACTGGAAGAAATGCAAGGTTGAGAAAATGACTTCTGAGGCATTGAAGCATGTATGATCTCTTAAGTTCTTCCACTTGATCAGTGTTTGAGTTGGATTCTTGGTTCAGTCGGTAAGGACATCATTATGAAGCCATCAATGCTTGCAGAAAACATGATGCTATCCTTTCTATGATTACTTCCAAGTATGAAACCTCAATTATTGGTGGAAAGAGATTGTGAATGCTGTAGGTTACCTAGGGTTTCGATCCATGTTGTGAAGCAGCTGTAAAAAACCAAAAGCCAAAGATATTTATGAATCCGTGTAGTTGCTGTTTCGATTTCTTTTGTGATTTCTTTTAATGGGTTTCTGGTACAGGTTCATTCTAGGTTCTCAACGAATACTTTTCCTAGTTGGGATCGTGCTCAACCCATGCGTGTCTTGGGTCACAATGGGGAAATTAATACACTCCGTGGCAATGTAAATTGGTAAGTCTAATATTTCTTAAATTCGAGCAGAATCCTTATGCCTTTAGGGGGTGTGCTTGTCATCAAAATCAAAGGTTAAGATTATTGTTCTACATGTCAATGGTTCTTTTTAAATCAACATTTTCTCTTGCATTAATGCTGATTAGTGTTGCCTTTATTCATCTACAGGATGAAGGCTCGTGAGGGTCTCCTTAAGTGCAAGCAGCTTGGCCTTTCTAAGTCAGAGATGACGAAGATTTTACCTATTGTTGATGCTAGTTCCTCTGATTCAGGTTTTGCACACCTTTCAATCTTGAACCTTTCCGTACCTTTAGGTGTTGTTGCAGTTATGAATGACCTTATCTTCATGTTATTATGTATATCTGATTTGTGGTCCTGTTTATGTTCGCTAGGAGCGTTTGATGGTGTACTTGAACTCTTAGTTCGTGCTGGTAGAAGTCTACCTGAAGCTGTGATGATGATGATTCCTGAAGCCTGGCAAAATGATAAGAACATGGATCCTGAAAGGAAGGCTTTATATGAATACTTCTCAGCTCTCATGGAACCTTGGGATGGGCCTGCCCTTATTGCATGTATGTATTGAGCCTTGGGATTTTTTTTAATTTAAAACATCTTGGGTTTTTTAATTCTATTTTTTGAGCTCAATCTTTTTTGTAATAATTGAAGTTACTGATGGACGCTACCTTGGAGCAACATTGGATCGCAATGGACTTCGGCCTGGCCGGTTTTATGTCACACACAGCGGCCGAGTTGTAATGGCAAGTGAAGTTGGTGTAGTTGATGTTGCACCTGAGGATGTGAGTAGAAAAGGAAGGCTCAATCCTGGAATGATGCTTCTTGTGGATTTTGATAACCATGTTGTTGTGGATGATGATGCTCTGAAACAACAATATTCTCTTGCTAGACCTTATGGGGAGTGGCTTGCAAGGCAAACTATACAATTGAAAGACATAGTTGAGTCTGTAAAAGAATCTGACAGGACGCCTCCACTAATTGCAGGAGTTTTACCAGTAAGCTATTGATCTCTTACTACCTCCATCTTTTCATTAACTTTCACTTTTTTTTAATGTGTTCTTTGTATTTATCACTTTAGGCATCCAATGATGATGATAACATGGAAAACATGGGCATTCAGGGTTTATTGGCTCCATTAAAGGCCTTTGGGTATGTATCACTGTTATTTTCCGCTATAAAGAAGAATATTAATTGTACCCTCTTCTACAAAGAGGAAATAGTTCATCAATTTTATGACCTTCATGTAGCTACACTGTCGAGGCCTTGGAAATGTTGCTACTCCCTATGGCAAAGGATGGGGTTGAAGCTCTTGGTTCTATGGGTAACGATGCTCCACTTGCTGTGATGTCCAACAGGGAGAAACTCTTATATGACTATTTCAAGCAGATGTTTGCTCAGGTTACAAATCCACCAATTGATCCTATTAGGGAAAAAATTGTCACTTCCATGGAGTGTATGGTTGGTCCAGAAGGAGATCTCACGGAGACGACCGAAGAGCAGTGTCACCGCCTCTCACTCAAAAGTCCTCTCTTGAGCATTGAAGAGATGGAAGCCATTAAAAAGACGAACTACAGAGGCTGGAAAAGCAAGGTTATTGATATCACCTATCCTAAAGAACATGGTAGTAAGGGTTTAAAGAAGACGTTAGATAGGATCTGTTCTGAAGCACATGAAGCGATCAACGAGGGTTATTCTACACTCGTGCTTTCTGACAGAGGTATTTCAGTTCACTGAGTTCATGTACTCATATTTTCTGTTCCATGATATTAATTTCTTTTTGTTCTCTTCATCAACTGGAATAGCTTTCTCGCCCAACCGTATTGCTGTGAGCTCCTTGCTGGCTGCTGGGGCGGTACATCAACATCTGGTTAAAAATCTCGAGCGTACTCGTGTTGCACTGGTTGTTGAATCAGCTGAACCCCGTGAGGTGCACCATTTTTGCACACTTGTAGGTTTTGGAGTGGATGCCATCTGCCCTTATTTGGCGACAGAAGCTATATTGAGGCTACAGGTTGATGGAAAGATCCCACCAAAGGCAACCGGTGAGTTCCATACCAAGGATGAGCTTATTAAGAAGTATTTCGAAGCAAGCACGTATGGGATGATGAAGGTTCTTGCTAAAATGGGCATTTCAACTTTGGCCTCATACAAAGGTGCTCAAATTTTTGAGGCTGTGGGCCTTTCATCAGAAGTAATGGTGCGGTGCTTTGCTGGAACTCCAAGCAGAGTTGAGGGTGCCACTTTTGAAGCACTTGCACAAGATGCAATTAAGTTTCATGAACTGGCATTTCCTTCACGTTCTCTCCCTGCCGGAAGTTCAGAGGCTGTAGCACTCCCTAACCCCGGTGATTATCACTGGAGAAAAGGCGGTGAGATTCATCTCAACGATCCCCTTGCTATAGCCAAATTACAGGAAGCTGCCAGATCCAACAGTGTGGCTGCCTACAAGGAATACTCCAAGCGTGTCCAAGAATTAAACCAACAATGTAATTTAAGGGGTCTTTTGAAGTTCAAAGAGACAGGAGTGAGAATTCCTCTGGAGGAAGTTGAGCCGCCTACTGAGATAGTAAAGCGTTTCTGCACTGGAGCTATGAGTTATGGGTCGATATCACTGGAAGCTCATACAACCCTTGCTATTGCAATGAACAGAATTGGGGGGAAATCAAACACAGGTTGGTCATTGCCTTTGAATTACGAAATGGTTGTAATTTTAACTGATTTTTCCCTTGGCTGAATTCATGATTGACCGGAAAATGTGATTATGTTAAATGATATTCACAGGTGAGGGAGGTGAACAGCCGTCTCGCATGGAGCCTCTTCTGGATGGATCCAGCAACCCTAAAAGAAGTGCAATTAAGCAGGTTGCAAGTGGAAGATTTGGAGTCACAAGTTATTATCTCACAAATGCTGATGAATTACAAATAAAAATGGCCCAGGTACACTCTTAATAAGTTTTATGGAATTGATACAAGTTATCCAGAATGTTTAGTATCCAAACTGATTGTGTGGAATTGATTCTATGACCTTTGAGCATCTTTGCATTTTAATTGATATGGTATACTGAAATTTTTGTTCTACTTTGTGTTTTCCCTGATCTGCAGGGAGCAAAACCTGGAGAGGGTGGTGAACTTCCTGGACACAAGGTCATTGGTGACATTGCTGTCACTAGGAACTCCACTTCTGGGGTAGGACTAATTAGTCCTCCTCCCCACCATGATATATACTCTATTGAAGATCTTGCCCAATTGATTCACGATCTTAAGGTAAATCTGCGTAGATAATGCCTCTTGGAATGACGAGCTCTGCATTCTAAACTGACCCCATTTGTCATTTGAGCAAATAATTGTTTCTAATATTCTTACCATTCTTGTAGAATGCAAACCCAGGGGCTCGAGTAAGTGTGAAACTAGTTTCTGAAGCTGGTGTTGGGGTGATTGCAAGTGGTGTTGTGAAAGGGCATGCTGATCATGTTTTGATCTCTGGTCATGATGGTGGTACAGGTGCATCAAGATGGACTGGAATCAAGAGTGCTGGACTTCCATGGGAACTTGGTCTTGCTGAGACTCATCAGACTTTAGTTGCGAATGACCTTCGAGGCCGAACCACTCTGCAGACAGATGGGCAGTTAAAAACCGGAAGGGATGTGGCTATTGCTGCACTTCTGGGTGCAGAGGAGTTTGGTTTCAGCACTGCACCTTTAATAACACTAGGATGCATCATGATGCGAAAATGCCATAAAAACACTTGTCCTGTGGGGATTGCGACTCAAGATCCTGTTCTTCGGGAAAAGTTTGCTGGAGAACCAGAACATGTTATAAATTTCTTCTTCATGCTAGCAGAAGAGGTAAGGGAAATCATGTCCTCTCTTGGTTTTCGAACACTCAAGGAAATGGTTGGCCGTTCTGACATGCTTGAGCTAGATGAAGATTTAGTCAAGAACAATGAGAAGCTGAAGAACATTGATCTCTCTTTGCTACTCCGACCTGCTGCTGACATCCGATCAGATGCTGCTCAATACTGTGTGCAGAAGCAAGATCATGGTTTGGAAATGGCTTTAGATAACACATTAATAGAATTGTCCAAAGCTGCTTTAGAGAGAAGCCTTCCTGTATACATTGAAACTCCGATCTGCAATGTCAACCGGACAGTTGGCACCATGCTTAGTCATGAAGTAACAAAGCGTTATCACATGAGTGGGCTGCCCACTGACACAATTCACATCAAACTCAGCGGAAGTGCAGGACAGAGTCTTGGAGCTTTTCTGTGCCCTGGAATAACCCTTGAGCTTGAAGGAGATAGCAATGACTATGTGGGGAAAGGGCTTTCAGGTGGAAAGATTGTTGTTTATCCTCCAAAACAAAGCACGTTTGACCCAAAAGAGAATATTGTAATCGGAAACGTTGCACTGTATGGGGCAACAAGTGGGGAGGCTTATTTTAATGGAATGGCAGCAGAAAGATTCTGTGTCCGTAATTCAGGGGCTAAGGCTGTAGTAGAGGGTGTTGGTGATCACGGATGTGAATACATGACAGGCGGAACAGTAGTTGTGCTTGGAAAAACTGGACGAAACTTTGCTGCTGGAATGAGTGGGGGCATCGCATATGTACTTGATGCAGATTCCAAGTTCAGGTCACGCTGCAACACTGAGTTAGTAGACCTTGATAGAGTCGAAGATGAAGATGATATTATGACAGTTAAGATGATGATTCAGCAACACCAACGTCATACAAACAGCAAAGTTGCAAAAGAAGTTCTTGCTGATTTTGACAATGTTTTGCCCAAGTTCATCAAGGTCTTCCCTAGAGAGTATAAGCGGGTCCTTACAAGCATGAAAGAATCTGAAGCTAGCAAAAAGGCTGTGGAATCTGCAGCCAATGAAGCTAAGGAGCACGATGAAAAAGAATTGAGGGAGATCGATGCTTTTGAAGAGTTGAAGAAATTGGCGGCTGCGTCCTCTAATGGGAAACTTGACCAGGTGTTCTTTTTGTGTGTCATATTTTTTTTTTCTGTTACTTGTGATAACTGGGACAATTAAGGCATAGTATTATGGATTTATTGACGTTTTTGTGTGTGATGCACTCCATGTTTTAATATATGCGATTATTACTTTCACTTATCATGTTGGTGTCTTTAAGGCAGAGTAATCTGATCATACTCCAGTTCAGTAATCCTTACTGCCTAACAACTTTTTTCACACTTTAGTCATGCTGATATAGACCAGTGAGTACTCCCTCTGTCTAGAAATGAAATTGAGTAACGTTTTAAGTTTTTTTTTTTTTTTTTAAAGAGAGTGTGGTTTCAATAGGCAACTTAAAGTTTTAAGTAAATCCGGTGAAGTAATGTGGTAAGTTTTTTTTGTCAATTACTCCATGCATTCTTGCAAATAAGTTTTAATGGTACACAAGTCATCATTCTGTTATTGCTGTCTGTGTCTCCTGCATTGGTACCTTTGTTTAGATTTTAGTGCAGTTAAAACAACTAACACCTTATATACTTGTAGGAGTCAAAATCTGTAATTTTCTTTTTCTGTTTCAGTGCATTTGTATCAATCTATGCTTATTTTCTGTTTTCATGGTAGAACACTAGTAGCACAGTTGACTCGAGATTCTCAAGAATCTTAGTTTAACCTCATATGTGCAGTGCATTGCTATATTGGTATGTTATATGTGCATATTGTCAACAGGGACTGGTATCTGGTAACCACATCCCATTTTCTCTTTCACGCACCTTGTGTACTATTTGCTACCATCTTTGCTTATATCCTTGCAACTACCAGGATGAGGAAGTCAAATCTGTGAAGAGACCAACCAAAGTTGATGAGGCAGTCAAACATCGGGGTTTTGTTAACTATGAGCGAGAAGGAGTTTCATATAGGGACCCAAACGTTCGCTTAAGAGACTGGAAAGAAGTCATGGAAGAGACTAAACCTGGCCCACTTTTGAATACACAGTCGGCACGCTGTATGGACTGTGGTACTCCTTTTTGCCACCAGGTACATGCATACATCTAGAATCAATTTTCTCACAAATGGATATTCTGTTTCTAATATTGAAATTTATTGTGTTGTTTTTAAAATAACGCACAGGAAAACTCTGGCTGTCCTCTAGGAAATAAAATACCCGAATTCAATGAACTGGTGTATCAAAATAGATGGCGTGAAGCACTCCATAGGCTTCTAGAGACTAATAACTTTCCAGAGTTCACGGGTCGTGTGTGTCCTGCTCCTTGCGAGGGATCATGTGTACTTGGTATCATAGAAAACCCAGTCTCTATCAAAAGCATTGAATGTGCTATCATTGACAAGGGTTTTGAGGAGGGCTGGATGGTGCCACGACCTCCTGAAAAGAGAACGGGGTATGATTTTCACTCTAATGTCTTCCTTAATACTCCCTCCGTCCCGCCATGATTGTCCCATTTTACCTTTTCGGTCCGTCCCACTAGGGGAGAACAAACCCGACCCTACCCGATGATTGACCCGACAGGATATATCCGAATTTTTTGTTTGGGTCGGAAAACCCGACCCGAAATACCCAAACCCGATCCGATTCTTGCAACCCGAGACTTAAGCGGGTAGCGGGTAGGGTTACCAATTATGCAACCCGACCCGCCCGACCACCCGAAATACCCATGGCATATATACTCCTTATATACCTAATTGTACTGTTCAGTGTTAACTGTTAAGCTCGTATATACCAATTATCATTTGTATATACCAATTATTATTTTATTTATCACAATATCAAATATGTCACTCACCGTATATTATTATTTTACATGATCAAATATGTCGATTGCTGTATTTATACAACTATTACTTTGAATGTTATACTAATATAACTTTGAATGATATTTTTACCAATTACCATTTTATTTATCACAATTTCAACAATAATAAATTATAACCCGAATGGACCCAAAAACCGAATCAACCCAACTCAACCCGAAAAACCCGATAATTTTTTTCGATAGGGTAGGGTTTGAAATTATCAATCCGATAACCGAACGGGTTTACAATTTTTGAAACCGACCCGCCCGAACCCGACCCGTGCTCTGCCCTATGTCCCACTAAGATTGTCCCATACCTTATTTGGTAAAATTTGTGTGGTTCTAAATTATTCTTACTTTATTCTTACTTTATCAATTCAATATCAACCACATAAACTCACTTTTATTAATAAACGTGTCATCTTTTCTTGTCCCAAACTTAGGGGGACGGAGGTAGTATGATCTATCCCATTCGTTCTTACTCAACTTTGCACTTTGTAGTGTTTTTTGATTGGACATTTTGACCTGGGTGTATTCTGGTGTATTCTAATATAAAGAAAGTTTTTACTGTGTAATGTTCACATCCATAATAATCACATTTGGTGTTCAGAAAACAAGTTGCTGTTATTGGAAGTGGACCAGCTGGTCTGGCTGCTGCTGATCAGCTGAACAAAAAAGGTCATACTGTGACAGTTTTTGAGCGCTCCGATCGGATAGGTGGTCTTATGATGTATGGAGTGCCCAACATGAAGGCTGATAAAACTGATATAGTTCAGAGACGGGTAGATCTAATGGAGAAGGAAGGTATTAACTTTGTCGTCAATGCTAATGTGGGGAAAGATCCTCTGTTCTCCCTTGACCGGCTTCAGGAGGAGCATGATGCAATTGTTTTAGCAATAGGATCCACAAAACCTAGGTAAGGACTGTGGTTAACGTACTATTTTGTTGTTTCTATATATATTTATAGGTAATGGCTTCATGCTTATACCACATGATATTAGCTTTTTGGGTGAAATAGAAGATTACCTTAGGTCCTTTGTGTGGATGATAGTTAATGGACTTATTTTGCAGGGACCTTCCTGTTCCTGGCCGTGAATTGTCTGGAGTTCATTTCGCTATGGAGTTCCTTCATGCTAACACTAAAAGCTTGCTTGATAGCAATCTTGAGGATGGTAATTACATTTCTGCCAAAGACAAAAAGGTGGTAGTTATTGGGGGTGGTGACACCGGCACGGATTGTATAGGGACTTCTATTCGACATGGCTGCAGCAGTGTAGTGAACCTAGAGCTTCTTCCCCAACCTCCGATGTCTAGGGCTGCAAGCAATCCTTGGCCCCAGGTCTGACCATGTCCCTTGAATGTTTATGCTATTTCCTGCTAGTTTTGTTACTTGAACCAGTAATATGATTGCTAATCATATTGGTTAATTAATTAGTAACTGTTTAGTTTTTATGATTTTTGCTAAGTCTCTATCTTTTTATTGTTTTTGCTAAGTCATCCACTCATCCCACACTAATCTTTTATTGTCTTATGATTTGTCTTGGGTGTTGCTTTAAATCACTATTTTGCGGGCATGTTGAGCCAGCCCACACTAACCAAAAGATAGAGACTCACACATAAGACCTTATGTTTGGTATTGCTTCAAATTTACATTTTGATGGCCCCACAAGGTAACTAGCACAAAAACAGGAAATAAGAAATGTGAAAAGTGGGAAACGTGAAAGGCGATAAATGGGTTTTTGAGAAAATATAGGATATAGAATGTGGGCGTAACACATAAATATTAAAATTAGAAAACTATTTATTAATATTTATTCAGATATATATATATATATAGAGAGAGAGAGTAATCTTCCGGTCAGGACTTCTTGACCGGAATCGCCGTCCGGACTCCACAATTACGAAAATTGGGCAAACCGACTTCCTGGTTCTTTTTAATTACGAAAATGGCGGTGAAATGGGAATTCAAAGTATCCGATTTACTTTCAAATTTCCAAAATGGGTAAACATGGGATGTTAATTGGATTGAAATTTTCTAGTTGGGTTCAATTTGGCCTATTTAAGTCTTGTCTGGTTTGATTTAGTTTGTTCAAGTCTGGCCTGGTATTTTACAGACTGTGTTTAAGTTTGGTCTGGTTTGATTTAGTTTGTTCAAGTCTGGCCCGGTATTTTACGGACTGAAATCAGTCTAATTAAAACATCCATGAACCACAAGCCTTAATGTTAGAATAGTTCACGAGGCATAATTAATCTCTTGGCTTTGCAGTACATGGCATTTCTCTCTTTATTGATACATCGTATAAATGATGTTATTGACAGTGGCCTCGGGTGTTTCGAGTTGATTATGGACATCAAGAGGCTGCTACAAAATTTGGCAAGGATCCAAGGTCTTATGAGGTGCTAACAAAGCGGTTTATCGGAGATGAAAATGGTGTGGTGAAAGGTCTTGAAGTTGTTCATGTGAAATGGGAGAAGGATGCAACAGGGAAATTTAATTTCGTGGAAATCAAAGGTTCTGAGGAAATCATTGAAGCGGATATAGTTTTGCTTGCGATGGGTTTCCTTGGCCCTGAATCTGTAAGTGTTCTTTTGTGATATAATATAGATAGAAAAAATTACATAGCAAAAATATGAATGCAAAAACAACAATTTCACCATTTTCTATACATACAAGGAAAACAGTAGCAGTAACTGTATTAGTAGTAGTACCTCCACTGATTTCACCTGCGATGTTGGTTTCTATTATCCGGTGGTGACGTCTCTGACTACTAACCGGCAACAACATCGGCTGCCATTATTCGGCTCCAGTACCAACTGCAGGTGGCACCTTCTCGTGTCGCCGCCTACTGGAGGAGCTACTTTAGCTTTGCCTCATGTAGTAGGTTCTACTATATGATATTACCTTGCCACCTTTACCACCGGAGTTAGTTGGTAGCAGTAGCAGTACCGTGGATTACAGTACTACAATAAAAAAAGATCACGTAGAATCCCATATTGTCTTAAATTTCGATCTTCAGACATAGAAGAGTTTTTTTGTAAACCAGAATTTCGTTACATTGATTTTTAAATTTATATTATGATCTTATGTGTGAAATTTACTCATCATAATCGTGGCATGCATGTGATTGTTCAGACCATAGCTGACCAACTGGGCGTGGAGAAAGATAACAGATCGAACTTAAAAGCTGAATATGGACGCTTTGCCACAAATGTGGAAGGTGTGTTTGCAGCAGGGGACTGCCGTAGAGGCCAGTCTCTAGTGGTGTGGGCCATCTCAGAGGGGCGACAAGCGGCTGCACAAGTTGACTGTTACCTCATGCGAGATGAAGATGACTCTATTTGTAGCACTGCTGGGCTGAATCGGAGATTTTGTCAAGCAGCAGCAAGGTAGGAGGAAAAGACATCTTTCATGTTTGAAATATAGGAGGAATTAGTGATTGGTTTTTTTTTTTTTATTGTGTGCATTCGATTGGATGGTAATGTTTTTGTTATGTTAGGTCGTTTTCTGGTTATATTTCGTTATAGTTAATGATGCCTGTTGGTTTGAAGGAGCAGCAAGGCATAGCAGCAAAGATGTATAGTTTTGTTATTAAATAATTCATTCACATCTCAGTGATGATGAATGTTGGATGACAATAAGTTATAGATGGCATCTCATATTTTTTGCACCCCTCTTTACTTGATGTTCATTTTTGTATTGATTGTGAATTTGTTTAAAAAAATTGAAGAACCTACAGCTCATCTCTCATTCATCAAACAATCATGGGCCGCACTGCCCGCACGACTCGTGGGTCCAAATTATATTCTCTACCACCTGCATTAGAAAGGGCTGCCCTAGCTAAACCATGGGCCGCACGACTCGCGGGTCCAAAATCTCACATTTTTTCTCCTCCATTAGGGTAGGTTGGCCCAAATAATTGTTGCATCTCTTCCCACTCAGGACTCCCAACAAATCACTAAACCTGTTTTTCTCCCCATTAATGACAATTGGGTGGAAATAAATACTACCTCCGTTCTCCGTCCCATATTGATTTGCAAATTTGACTTTTTTTGGTCAAACAGTTCCGTTTTATCCACTTAATCAGGATATCAATTGTTAATTACATTCTAATTTGGAGTTTACAACTTTGAAGAGATCTTAATGTAGTTTATGAATATGTAAATTTCAATTATTAAAAACTGAATTAGTTATCCATATGGAGGGTTGATTTTTATTATTGGTTGACCAAAAAATATTGACTTTGCAAAACAAATTAGGACGGAGTGAGTAATAGATTTTGGGAGATTTATTTTCTGTCCCCTTTCATAGGATGGAGTACATCTCGGATCATACCACATCCCTCCCTTGTACTGAGACATAAAAAGTCGTCATCTACAAAGAGTAAATGAGACACCTTAAGGCTTAAGAGCACCTCACCGTGTTTGCCCAAGTTCTCATTTCTTTTTGTAAACGACTCGTACTTTTAGCCATAAATAAATAAATAAATAAGGAAATAGGGGTCCCTTGTCTAAGTCCCCTCTAAGGTCCAATTGTTGTGCCATCAAATGGAATATGTTTGACCCACCTCATATTGAAATTCATAGCCCCCATCAATTTGAATAAAAAGTCTTACTCTACTCTATCATAAGGTTTGTTCATATTCAATTATAGAGCAAGAAAACTCTCTTTTACTCGGGTCTTATGCTTAAGAAAATGGTGTGTTTCAAAAGCTATCATTATATTGTGAAACCCGGATAAAAATACTTTGATCTCGGCAGAAACCTGAGTCAGTTTGGTCCAATTCGATAAGATTAAATTATTAAAATATTCTTCAATTAATCTCCCTACCTCAGATCTATGTCTTTCGACCAAAATTCCTTCACTCTTTGCCTCCTGAAATCATTTTGTCGATTGAGTAGATTTAATAATGAAATTTTAACTCTCCTCAACTCAGCAATACTATGAGTATCATATTTGCAGCTTAAGTACGCTAGACGTCGTCACTCATCAATCCCAGCCGGGAATCCTTGCTTTCGTATCCTGCTCCATTTTTCAAGTGCCCTCCCATCGTCAGATTATCCTTCTAGTTTTGTTGAATAACCACTTTACATTACTCCTATTACTCGTACATTTACAAATTTAAAGCTCTTTTGAGTCGATTGTGTGCGAGAGTAATTAACCTTTTTTTACCCGAGGAGTAGGGGGGCTGGGGAGGCCTGGAGTAAACTTGGATCAAACTCATTCTATTGAGTATTGAACCCGAGACCTCTCATAAGGTAGAGTGAGTCGACGACTAGTTGAGTTGGACCGCTTCCCCATATGATCACATGAGTGGATGGACCTTTCAGCGATCAAGCATTTAGCTCTTTAAATATATCTAATCAACCTTCATTAGCCACAACATATTCGTTAAAGCTTTTCCTCAATCCACCACGATGTAACTCGACCCGTTGCCATGTCCACCGGTATCCCTCGAAATGCAAGTTACTCAATTGCCCCGTGAAATTCACGAATGCTCTCACCCAAATTAAGTTTTTGACAGTCTCGTGCTTATCAACACTTAAGAAACTTTCTTCTTGTTTAAACTATTTCTCTATTATTTATGTCTTTTTTATTGGGGAAAAAAATGAGTTTTTCCTAGTAGAAACCCATTGAAATTTGAATAACAAACCATATCTCCTGATAATAAAAAACGAGAAATCTCAGCCCATAGAAAGAAACTTGTCACAACTCAGTGCATTCCATTGATGAAGAAATAACATATAGAGGTATTTACAAAGTAGAGCATTAGAAATAGCAGATACCAGGTACAGAGGGATATGAATTGAATCACGCCGGCCGCGAGGGATGAGCCATCACAACACCGCCGTGAGTTGAGTTCCTCTGGTTCAGAAATGGAGAATTTCTATGTTTGTAGTATAGGCTCAGCTCTGCCATGCTGATGGACAGGCTCGTATAAATGAGTCTACCAGTGATAAACAGACTTTCAGGGATGACTAATTATGACATTCACTCATTTGGATAAGAGTAGATGAGGGAGGAGGATAGAGCTTGTTTTATAGGCTGGAAACAGATTTCTTCTCCTCATGTCTTCTCAGGACCACTTCAACAATTTGGTAGGAAGAACTAACTTTGTTGGCAAACTTGGCTAAAAGGTAGTCCATCCAACTATGATCACCATATCAGTTTCTAAACTAATAAATTTATCATTTTAGTTCTTAATCTATTTAATTCATACAGCCTCCTTTTTAAAATGATTGACCAAATTGACTTTTCTTGCTCAATGGTGATCAAGTTTGACCAAGATATTTATTATACAAAATTATTTAAAATATGAAAATTATACTTGCACATTCTTTATAAATAATGGGAGATTTCCCTAAATAGAACTAAATGAAAGGAGAATTACAACAATAGGAGTTTAATTTTTAAATTGTCAAAATAGGACTAACTATTCCTATTCTACCCTTTCCCTTATCCTTTCTAATAGGATTTTATAAATAATCATTTTAAAACACAAGAAAATTAAAATAAAAAAATAAAATTTGTAAAGAATAAATAAAAATATACATACCTCAACCACCACCCCAGCCACTTTCCAGCACCACCACCTCCGGTCGCCGCAAAAGATTGCCAAGTTGGAGAAAAAATGTCATCGTGATGACAATTTTGAAAAGAAAGCTGGATATTTTCAAAGAGTAAAAATGCCATCTTGATGAAAATTTCAGATAAATGTGGCATTTTTTTTTATAGAAGATGACATTTTTTCAGACGATTGGAGGTGGTGGTGCTGGGAGGTGGGGGATACGGAGATAGTGGCCCACATATTTTTATTTATTTTTAGATATTTTATTTTATTTTATTAGATTTTTTTAAGTTTTTTTAAATTTTATTTCTTTTTTTAAAATTTTATTTTATTTTATTTTATTTTTTCCCGATTTTTTTCTTAACTTGTAAATTTTTTTACGATTTTTTATGTTTTTATTATAAATAAAACTATGATTTGTGTTATTAATAAATAAATCTGTTAGAAATTATAGGTTGGAGGTAGAATAGGAAGAAGAGACATATATCACTCCTATTTTGGGAATAAAAGAAATATAGTCCTAATGTGGAATTTTGGCCTACTTTAATTTTAGTCCCATTTAGGGTTAATACCCAATAAATAATCTTTCATAAAAGTATAAAATTTATAAATTACACACAAATATGATACATAAAATCATTGTCTAATCTTTAATACCATGATCAAGAAAAGTCAAATTTGCCGATTTTTTTGGGATGAAGGGAGTGTCAATTTACTTCTTATGTCATTTTAACGTCAAATTGATGAAATATTCAAAATGATGCATCTAAAATTTATACATTTTAAGAAATTGACCACTTTAAGAAAAAAATTCTTTAAGAAAAAGACCAAATATTTTATATGGTGGAAACAATTTCACTTCATTATAAACCCTCCATCAAACAATAATATTAACAACAATAATCCCTACAATAGTAATAACAACAAAATTCCATGTTTTTTTAATTCTGTCTGCGCATCTCTATATAATTGAGTTGTTCGGTTCCATCTTAAGCAAATAAAAACGTGATACATATATTATTTTTTATTGAGTTGTTGTTATGATCATTATTGTTATTATTACTCTAGTAATTATTATTATTATTACTCTAATTATTATTATTATTATTATTATTATTATTATTATTATTATTATTATTATTTTATTATTAGACGGGGTTATAACAAAATACATAGCAGGTGTAGTTGTGTGCACCAGAAAAATTCTTTAGTCTTTTTCTTAAAGTGGTTGTTTTCAGGTGATGAATGCCTTAAATATAGTTTGCTATACACAAGTGACTACTAGAAGGCAATATTTTGAACATTCCATCAACTTGACGATTAAAAATGAGGGAAGGACTAGATTGATAGAGACTAAATAGAATAAAGATTATAATGATAGATTTATTAATATAGGGATCAAAATGATATGATGATGATAGTTCAAGGACCATTTGTGCATTTTACTCAGCAAACTTATTTTGTCAAACTACACCTTCCTTGGAACTTAAAATTTTGACTTTTCTCTTTTGGGCGTCCCAACCAAAAGTTTTCAAATTAAAATTCTTATATAACAACTCAATCGTCAATTATTAAAACTAATACGCATGTAATATCACAATTAGCAACAATGAGTCAATGGCTTTATTATATTACCTCCGTTCTGGTGGGCTTTGTCAAGTTCGAATTAGGTGAAAATAAGAGAAGTAATTAAAAGTTATGTGTTTGAGGTTATTTAATTCGAAAGTTGCAATGTTTTTTTTTTGACAAACAAAAAAGAAAGTTCAGTGGGACGAAGAGAGTATTTTAAACACATTAAAGTTATTTAACAAAATATTCTTGAATAACATTATTTAATTATTATTTAAATCACTGTGTTATTTTTCAATGAGAAGCGCAAGCGAGATGTAGGTAATACAACTTTAGTTGCGAGGACATACGAAGTACATGTATTTCTTTTCTCAGAAAATTTCGGAATATGAGTAACGACGTTTTGGAATTCCGGAATAGGAGTGTTGTGTTTATTTTCCCTAAACAGGAGTGCACTACTGCCATCCTGGAAATTTACTGTCATATTTTAGCATTATCAAACTTTAAATATGGTAATATATTTCCAAAAGTGA